GTGTTACGGGAGCCGACAACATCCTTGCCTAAAAGTTTACGCACGGTCCTGCAGGTGCAGTACGAAACTTTTACTTCGATGTCATCTTGGATTTTGCGGGATGTTAAGTTGGGCTCACTGACGAGTTTGATCTATAGCTACGAGGTCTATAAAAAAGACCGAAAATATTTTTTTTTATGTGAGGGTGAGGGCGCGCGCGCGCGCGCGCGTGTGTGTGTGTGTGTGTGTGTGTGTGTCTCTCTCAGAAAAAAACATAATTTTGGATACATATTCTTCAAGACTTATCATTTGTATACCATTTTTATCATTACATCATTAATTCATATTTACTTTAATTACGTATGTGTGTACCGAGACTCGCCGGAATTGCCAACCGGTATATCATCGGCCGGGACAGTGGCTGTTCTTCTGTTATTACTATTATTGTATTTGTTTCTTTTAACATTTAAGATTTTCTTTATATATTCCCTTATACATCTCCATTTTGCGTTACTATACTAATCATTTCTTGTATTATATTACCTGGTGTTAAGTTGCTATCTAGCTCGGCTTCAATCTTCATTTTATCGTTTATAAACCTGGAACATTCAAAAAAGGTATGTTTCGGCGTTTCTCGATAAACCGTGCAGAATTTACAGAGATCATTATCAACTAGCTTAAATCTATGCAGGTAAGATCCGAACGCCCCATGACCCGTAAGGAACTGCGTCAAGAAGAAGTCCAGATATCCGTGTTCTCTATCAAGGCAAACCTCTAGATCCGGGATGAGGCGCTTGCACCGAACATCGGTACGGCTATCTCTCCAACGGGCACACCATCTATTGACTATATCGTCATTAATTTCTAAAAAGTCCTCTTCCTTTTTCGATCTCCTTTGTTTCTTTTCTAATAACAGGCCCGTCGGGGGGATGCTAGAAAAGATATCAAGACAATTCGCCGACGCAGTCCACCCAAAATTATAGATCTCTTGCCGTGACCTCAACTTAATATTCTAATGCTAATTGCCTGAGCTGAACGCTCTTCTCCCTCGGTTATGTACTACCGTACTGGTTATACCCATTACAGCTCAAAATTTGTGACTCCAATTGACAATTTTGGAACTTTTTGGCGTTGTTTTAGAAAAAAAAGTGGACTCATTCCTGTTTTACCACCTTTTCACACAGTTTGGGTCACGTTTTTAGGGTTTTTTCTCTTTTTCTCTT